TTTTTTTATAAAAGATATATAATAAAAATTTTTATATTTAAATAAATCCCAATATCTAATAACTTAATTAAATAAAACAGAATTAAAAATTTTATTTTGAAAAAATAATTTATTAATATTATCTGATATATCAAAATTTTCACAACAGATCATATTTGATAAATGGGATCTGATATAATGTGAATCAATTTAATATATTTTGATTTCTTTCTGAGAGATCTTGATTCTTTATATCACCTGTCATGTGAACCAAATATTATTTAGTTAAAAATAATGAATATAAGTTAGAATTTATAATTTAAAATTATCGCCAGATTTTGAAAGTTGTTGGCAATTAATTACTAATATTTCTATTTGATTAATAATTATTGATGATAATTATATATATTAATACATATAATTAGCAATTAATTACCTAACAAATCCGATGAAAATTGATAGCCAATATGGAAATCAACATCAAAAAATTGATCAATTATTTTCAGAACATAATATCTTAGTATATAGTACTCTAATAAAATGTGATTGTATTATCATTTTACTATTTAGTCAAAATAAATTAAAGATAATAAAAGTATATTATCAGATCACTGAATGCTAAGATTTTAATCAATTTTTAATTTAATATTTGCCAAAAAAAATAATTGATAAAAAATTAATTAGCTATTCTATAATATGATATTTTAGTATTTAACCCTTCAATTTATATAATTCATTATTTAATTCATCCAGTTAAAATGAATTAAATAATAATAAAATTACACAAAATAAATCTATATACATACTAAAAATATGAATTTTGTAAAGTATTCAGTGATCTTCTTCTACTAAGTTATATTAATTTGAAGCAAGAAAAAGTAAAGATATATAAATTTAGTCTTTATTATTTAATAATATTAATCAAAATTATATCAAAAAATTATCAAATATATAACTTGTAAACTCAAATATATTAGTAATCTTAAGTAGATATCTAATAATTTAAAAGAAGAGAAGCAATATTTTTTTGCTAGAATTATTAATTAATTTATATTATAATAAATATTAGTTTTTTGAAATCATTATAAAAATATTTCAAAATAAAATTTCATTATTAAAAAAGTATAAATATATAGTTATACCATTTTATTTTATTCTTAAATGTAATATTATACACAACTTAGTAATCACTTGAATTAAAAAGTTGTGAATATAACAAGAATAAAAGCAAAAATAAATGATTTAATGATTTTTATAGAGTGAGATATCACTAAAATTCTAAATATTTCCTGTACCAATCTAAATAGAAATTATATAATTAAAAAATGATTAAGATATAAGTATAATAATATTATTAAAGATGGGTATAATACAAATTATAAGAAGATAAAGATAAAATATAAAATAATAATATATAATTCAAATTAATAAGATTACTTACAAAATATAAAAATAATTAGCCTAATTTACTAAAAATTCATTTATAATTATTCAAAATAGCAAATTAAAGAGATAGCAATATCAAAGATAAACAAAACAATTATTAATACTTCAATAAACATTAAATGAAATACAGAATCAGATGTGATTCTTCAATTTTATATGACTAAAACCATAAATATATCAATTTGTTCAGCAAAAACAATTAAATCTATTAATTTATTATGACACAAAGAAATTAAAGCTGAAGAAATATTAGGTAAGAGTTAAAAATAATTTCTTTTTATTTATTTTTCAAACCACACATAATCTTATCTCTCTGTCTTGTGAAAGTGTTCTTTAATACATATTTACTTTATTAACATCTTTCTATTCTACAATTTTATACTAATACAAAATTAATGGAGTAGTTGTATAAAGTATAAATGTATAAGAATTTTTTATGAAAGTGATGTGGCTTCATTATTAATACAGATAAACAAATATAAAAGTTATTCAAATTTCGTTATTTTTTATGCTTTTTGTTTCTTTTGCGAGTCACTATGTCCTCTTATAGATATCAGACATCTGTATATTTTTTGCCGAACATATTAAAATTCTAATCCGTGATGCTATAATATAATATACATGTAACATAATATAATATATAATAGTTATAGTAATTATGATAATATTTTATTATAATATTGCTTTATTTCTGAGTTTTGGAATTATAAAATATTATGTCATGCATAATTCAAAAATTAGTGCAATCTCTGATAAATTACATTATTATTAGAACTTAAGTTATTATTAAGAAGTCACGCTATTAGATAAATTTTGTGTGGGAAATATTTTGGTATTTATGATTTATACTTTCTTATGACGACATAGTTTAAATAATTCATTAAATTATGATCGATTTGTTCTTCAATATCTTTAATAGAAGTTTCACAAATTTTGTGAAAATATATTGAATAATTTGTAAATCCTATCGTCTTTTGAAATTCAAGTGCTAATACGATTTACTCATATACTAGATAAACATGATTTTTAGTTATATAAATGAAATATTTAAGACTATAATATTTCTTTATTTATATATAATATATATAAGATGTAAGGTAAATTAGTGTAAATAATATATAGATAAAATATATATATAATATTTAATTAATCTGTTTTATACATAAAATTGTATTTAGTGATTTCAAGTGATTAGATATACAGAAATGGTTTAGAATGGGCTTAGACATATAAATAGTTCATCAAGCAAAATCTTCAAGAATATCTACTTAATGCATCTAGACTTCATTACGACAAACAATTTTCATAAAGATAAGAATATTCTATATAGAATGGATTTACGCATACAAGCAGCCAATTAGGCAAAGCCCTCAAGTCTTTATTTGTATTCAACTAAACCTCTTGTTTCATCTCAATGAATTCGCAGCGACTATATTAAAAAAATGGTTTGTCAGAAAGAAGAAGGATAGGCAACTATGTACATACAGACTTTCTTCTTAAAGTTTTTGTGCTGAATAATCACTTTCTTATCCGATTTTCAGTCTCAAATAAATGATGTATATGGTGCAGATTGCTAACTATGAAATTAATGAGCATTTTGTGGATACTGAGATAGGAAGACAAACCAATTTTGAAAGATAATAAGATCAAAAATAGTAATTTGATATTCGGTGTGACACTATAGATAAGTTTGAATGCTTTTAATCAAAGATTTATTTGTATGAAAAATTGAGAATCAAATTCATTAAGAAATAAAATGAATGAAATAATAATTAACACAAAATCAATCACAGTACTTGGATAAAGCATCGATCTCTGTAGTATTTACTTACATACACGTGTATAATGAGATGAGAAGCGCAAATCATACCGTAGATATACATGTACAATGAAAACGTGCCCTACCTTATATGTAAATTATTGTTAAGGGCGTCTGCGTATTATAGGATAACAGATTAAAGTTAAACAAAATATGTTTTTATTATGACAATTTTTTACATTTTCTTAATCGACGTTTTCGAGTTTATGCATTAATAATATATGAGACAAGATACAAAAACTTAAAAGAATGAAAAAAGTAAACAAAATTGAGAAAACGTGGATTTTACAATTGTCATTGATTTAACTAAACCAAGAATACACTTATTTCTTAAGTACATAGGCTTATTTATAAATTTCCTTATATAGATGAGAATGTTTTTCTAAATCTCATTCATTTATCATAAATCCTTCTTCATTCAAAAAATTCATTAAAGTATCAAGTTTTTGTTCTAAAAATTTAACTTTTGAGCACAATTCGATAATCTGGTTTTCTGCGTCACATTTATCATGTTCGTGGGAATTTTCAATAACATAGTTGTTCATAACAAAAATGTCAATTAAACTATGTTCTCGTTGATTTGTTTGTTGCGGTTCAGACAAATTATTTTTAACTGAAGAAAAAGGATTTTCATGAAATTCATAGTTCCTGTTATCGAAAGATTCAAAACCCGACGATTGCATTACATTTTCCGAATTCACTGAAACAAAATCAATGTCGCCGGAAGAAGGATCAAAATATGAAGATTGGCCCTCTAAACGCGATTCTTGTAAATCAGCGGGAAGAGTTATATTTGATCTAATTTCAGGTTGCCCAAAGTTAGTTAAATTTGATGATTCTTCAATAGTTGAATTTGGATTTTCATTTTGATAGATCCAATTAGGAAGAGCATGACCAGATGCTGTGTTTGATGTATCCTGCACGAATATTTTGGAAGAGGTCATATATGTATTCACAAAAGAAAGATTTTCAAAATTTACAAATTGATCTTTGGAAGCAAGACTTTCATTCATTTCATCATCTAAAAATGGCGTCTGCTCATATGATGCCATCCTTTTACTATTTTGTCCATGCTGTCTGCGTTTCTGAATCATTCTTTCGTAAAGAATTTTTGCAGATGCTGCAATACGTTGATATGCATTACGGACATATTCTGGTTGATTGTCCCATAAAGCCTTGCACATTAAAGAAAGTTGAGGTTGACTCATGCTGCAATCGCCAATAACACGAAGTTCGCGACAGACATCCATGCGAAATGCGATAAATGCATTAGGAATTCTGGATATTTTTCCACTTTTTTCAAGTCTTGCGCCTGCCCTCATGATTAGATCCTGAGGGGTAACTTTAGGTGGATAGGGGATTATAGAAAGAATTGTGTTGTTATCAAGGCTTTTTTGACTTAATGATTGCATTTTTAAAAAGATGAATTCATTAGAGTTTTGTATTCAATGTTTGAATTTATCAATTATATAACGTTATTTGGTTCCTGAAAGCAACAAAGATATTGAAGAGATTCAAATGCCAATTTTATATCATTTTCCCTAAATCTTATGATGCTCTGAAGTGTATCCAAAACTGTGTTCTTGTACACGGGCTATGAGTGATAAGGTTCTTCAACCAGCCTGTGTCAGTATTCGGCCAACAATCAAATATTTTTGGATAAAAAGAATGTTACATATTTTAATCGGGATATTTAAAATTTAGATCCAATTCTCAGGAGAAAATAGTCCTAAGAAAGTTGTGTCCTTTATGATTTTAATAAATGCAATATGTGCTTCTCTACAACATAAAAATTCCGTCTCGTTCTTGCCAATTTTTCACTCGTATGCATAAAGAATTTCCTATTTACAGCCTGACCTCCCTAAATTTAATTTTTCTTGTTGTTCTCTAAATGCATGATGTCTAAAAAGTTTGTCCGAGCACGTTGCATTTAGAGAGGTCTGGCTGTATTTTGTAAAAAATTCAAAATTTCAATTCACTTGTTATCCAAAAACGTAAATTTATTGTATATTCTAAATTTCGCAACTATTAACAATTATTGATTTAAACTGTGCAATTCCTATTTTCGAGTTTTAGCATTCATTGAAAGGTATTAAACATGGAATCACCAAATTTGTATTATATCGTAATATGCAAATTGGCGTTATGCGCCACAAATTAAATTTTGTTAGGAAAATAATCCGAATTCCTCTCAAGATTAACCGAAAAGTCTTTAGAAACTATGACATAGAACATGCCGTATGTAGGTAAAAAGGCTATGCTCATGCCTTTTACTATTACTATATATAGATGCAAAAGTAGATCGGATTTATACTAAAATAATAAATCAATATTAATATGCATAAATTGAAATCACTATTACCAAGATAGTATTTAGCTTTATAAATATTTTTATAAATTAATTGTATTACATACCGTACAGCATATAAGTTCCACGGGGCACTAAATCAAAAATACACCATGAACAGAACATTCACAGATGCAGCGTGATGAAAGTTATGAAAAATCGTAGAGTTGTTAAACATAATAGATCTAAAAAAACCACATTACTTATAAAAATCGGATTACTATTATCTCAGGGGATATTGTATGCTGCGCTATACGGTATGTATTTTACAAAATTTAATTACATGTATAAGAAAGTTTGGCAAGTGATTTACATGATCTGCCAAAAAATTTCATTTTAATCATTTTAAGGCTGTGACATTTAATAACTCCGCCTCCCATCCGGACGCGTGGCCTTCGGCGATAGCACCCAATTATGACGTATTTATTTAAAATTAGAAATCTATATGATATTTCGAAACTCCAATAAATTAAATGCATTTTCCCTACCTCAATAATACCATTCAGCCCAAAATGTATCATAATAAGCTAAACAAAGGCGCGTTAATATTCTGCCTATGTCAAGATTTCAGATTCTGTAATGTATAATTTCTTTATGAAACCTAAAATACAAATATCGGAATATATTTGAAAATTAATGTGTTGATTGAACATTATTACTATGTCATCTGTTATCTATAGTAACATTAATCTGGTACTAATCATTCAAATGATGTGAAGATGATGATTAACGAATTGGTCAATTATTTTGCGAATTTGCACTGGTTGGTACCTCATCATAATCTAAATTTTTAAATATATTGATTAAGTAGTTAACAAGAATAAAAAGGAAGATACGAAATCTGATGAATACCTTTCAATTCAAAAATCAATTATCAAATATAATAAGCATATAAAATTTTTTTATAACTAAAATTATTTTCATTAAACTCGTATGACTTCCAAAATGATTCAGATTTGGACCCAAATTTGCAAGAATTAAACCGGTTAAGGAATCAATCCACCTGTATTACATGTTATATTAGTAAGCATATATATACAATAATGCATTGAATCTGCACAAATAACTTTGGCTAGGTACCGACACGATCATGAGAAAATACTTCGAAGTTCTGCACAGCAAATTTAAATAGAGTATTATATTTATTCTTTAGAATTCTTTTATCGAATTGTGCGAGATATGATAGTGCACCATATACAGGCGCTTTTCACACAATCGTATCTTTTGGGACAAAGAAAAAGTGATTTTCCACAGATTATGGCTATATGGAGATTAAATTTCCTATCTTCTATAACGGATAAAGGTGTAATTGTAACGAGGATGCGTCACTTAATAGAATTTAATATTATAAAATTTCTAAATAATTTAAAAAACGTAAATAATTAGGTAACATAACATAAATATCCGTGAAAGAAGCCGTATATATTTCACTATGTGAAGATCAAATTCATATATGATCCACTTTGTGACAAACAAATCCATATCTAGATTTGTTCGCACAGTATCACTTTTCCCGTCGCAATTATTTTATTTAATATATATGTACATGTAAAAGTTTTGGCCATCCGCTTAGCAATATACATATAATGTGTTTTCGTTCTACGGAACATCTTTTCAATTAATTTATAACTTAATTCGGATTCATCTTTTTATTCTAACTTCTAATCCAGCAAGATTTTGGAAGGTTTAGGACTACATGTATATCCCAAAATGGGTTATGAGATTCAATCAGATGATTAGATAAGAGCACCTTAAATTGCTTATATTCTTCCTATTAACAAATTAAATTTTTTAATAATATTTATCAATTTTATTATTAAATTACAATATTAAATAGTATTAAGATAATATTAACCAGAACTTGAATTTGAAAGATTTTCAGATTGAGTAAAAGTTTCCTGAGCAAAGAAATTATCATCTTCAGATTTCTTTTTTTTGTTTGTTATTTTATTGAGATAAGATTGATAGAATTTGGCAAATAGATTTTTCTTTGACAGAACAGATCACTAAATAAGAATTCTAAAAGCTTATCTGAAAGAACGCATCACATATTGGTAATAATGCATTTAGAAAAAGTATAACTCACCAATATTTGCAATACTAATTCCATAATATATTGATACAAGCAAAAATAAATCACTCTTCAATACTAATATCTCTTATATAAAGAATACATTATCTATAAATTATATATCCATATTATATATGCATTCTGAATAAATCTAATATATTAATACGTTTGCAAATACATTATCTAACATATCAATGATAATACGGTATCCTTTTGGATAATCTATTACTATCGAATATTCATCTTTCCAGTTATTCCATAATAACTTATTTCAAGGTCAAGATCACTGTACTTTAGTACATTCGAATCTATTCTTGTATAGCTTAATTGTATTAGAAAAAAATAAAGTATCGTCCTTACACATTAAAATTATAATTCTACAATTTGCATTAATCACGTATTTCAACACAACAAGGTGTTTAGTTTGTTTTAAATTTATTTCTTCATGATCCCACTTGTAAGAGTGTAGTGAAGCTCGAATTCCTTTGAAAGACATTCCCGTTAGTAAATATTTCAAAATGGATCCATCAAAATTGCTTCCTGATTATTCATTTATTAGGCCGTCAATAACCTCATTTCGCAAGATAATTCAGCTTTATAACGTTGATAGTGATAATCAAAACATTCATTGCAACGAGCGTTTTTTGACCACGAGTTCATTTACTACAATCATTCATGAATTTTTAGTTTTTCTTTTAAATCACACGTATTTTCTTTATTTTGAAACATTAAAGGAAAAAATAATAATGAGCTAAAGAAATAAATAAAAATAATTTACCTTTATTTGCTTCATCTGTAGCATACAAATTGGCGGCAGCACTTATTGATTTGGCATTGATATCTAATCACACATGCAAAAAGCATTTTTGATGTACATCTATCTTGACTTTATTGCATTTTTTTAAAAATAGAGGTTTTAATTTCACTCAGTTCATTTGGAACATTTAACACTTGTAGAATATTTGATATATGTCATTTTGATTGAACACAAAAATAAATATATATGCTGTGTAGCTGAAATTGACAATATCCTACTAGTGTAAATTGCATTTGAGTGTATCAAGTTCTTTCCATTTCTGCCTTCCTAATTCAACGTGCTTTTTTAAGCTTCTCACGTGTTTTAAGATATTCTAAAGAGCCATAGTATTGAAAACGCAAATTATTCGGTTCAAAAAGTTCATCGTAATATGTGATGGAGTTCCTCAGCAGTTGGTCTGTTTTCTGGAATAGGAATCCCAACGATTTTCAATAATAAATTTGCATCATCCGAGAATATTATCTGGCATCGTGGGTCGTACTCCTATATAGATATCCAATACAAGATGTATATCATGACTTCGCTCACCAAATGGTCGTTCACCTGTTACAATTTTGTACAAGACCATTCCAAAGCTAAAAATATTTGCAGCTTTAGTGTATGGCTATCCATTTAAGATTTCTAGACACATATAAGGAAATGCTAAGTCACTCTACATATATGTACTAAAATATTTCCAGGATGAAAGTCAAGATGGAGAAACTTTTTATGGTGAATAAATCTCAGTTTCTTGATAATCTCATTTAAATATCTTAATTTTTCATTCCAAGTCAAGTTTTCGTAGTTAGAATTAATATATTCACGGAGATCATCAGTTCTGCATAAGCCGAGATTTCATTTGTAACGGGGTTTTAGTATGGCATTTGAGAACGATCTTGAATCTTTTTGAAAAACTTGGCTGTATCATAAAATAAAAAGTAACTTTCACTTTAGAAAATGTTCTTTCTTTACCTCGTTTATAAACTCTGAAATAATCTGTTTTGAAACGTATAAGGTTTTCAGCACAACTTTTCTTGTATTGTGTAAATTTCATTTCTTTATGATACCAATCTCCATATTTTGTTGGTCCATCAAACGAGGCTGCATATTTGATCACTTTATAAGATGAGAATTGGTTGAGATGATAGTAAACAAAGGAGATGTTCGTTGTCGTTATATACATGTACATGTAGTTATA